CAACTGGGAAGGTGAGCTACTGAGTAGCAGAGTCAAAGAGCTTTTCTAGAAATCACAGCTGCTTATTTAAAGCTGTCTTCTTACTGCAGGAGGGATTTGGTACCACAATCTGCCTTCCTCTGAAAGTGAGTGCCACCCCTTTGTTGTAAGACTTCTTTTAATAAAGGTGGTGATGAATAGAGGGAGGAGTTGGTCGACGGGCGACTAATATGAACAAATTATAGGCAAGAATCTATAAAATACCAGTACAAAAAAGTTACGATTAAACTAGTTCTCTATCAGAAGGCTCTACTTCCTCCAAGCACCCACTTGGTGTATCCTGCAGGGTGCTCAAAATATATGTCAATTGTTACAGTCATTATTCTGCATAGGCCTGATGTTGTTGTGTCAGCATCTGCCTTAAGGGAACTTTTGCCTTTCCTTACTCTTTCTGACTGCATTTTTAAAAAAGAAAAAAATCTATTCAAATGAAGTGTTTAACAGTGGTGGAGTGGCAAATGAATCTCCAAGTTTTTAAAAAGGATATCTCTTACTAGAATTTTGTTACTGTTATCTCCAAAGGCCTCAGTGTGGTCACTGTTACTAAAGTGCATCATCATGGCTTGATTTGCATCTGTTCCTTAGATGTCAGTTAATGTCTGATGCAACACATGGGAATGCATGCATGATGAACACAACAAAAGAAAAATCAGTGCTTCGCTTGTGGTATAAAGAAGCAAAATATTTGAGATGAATGTTTTAAGCCATTTATGTGAGCTGTAGAGAGCACCTATTTCCTGCTAAATAGGGGACAGATAATCTACAACTCTTAAATTCCTGTCCTGGCTTGCTGTGATCTTGGGTATGTGGCATTATATATATATGCTGGCATTATAAACAGAATTCACTTGTAGAGTGCATTGATGTACGAATTGAGCATTCGCATCTCTTTCTTATGTGTAGAATGAGTATAATAGGCAGTTTTAAGAAAATAGATACTGAGATTTTATGGAGAAGAAATCATTGTTAAAAGAATTGTGTGTTAGTACTGATAATGTTGTTATGGAGTTTTCATTAAAAGATACACACTGATATCTTGCAGCTTTGGTCTCTGGAAGGCACGTTTTGTTTGAGGAGCATTTCAGTAATTTTTATCATCTGCGAATTGCTGCACTTGTATGTATGGGAAGGCTGGTCAAAATGAATGGATCAGCATAGCTGATATGCTTCTGAATTTTCCTCTTGTTTATGAAGTGTTTGTAATACAGCTAGGACTGCAGCCAAGTGTGTAAATAGCCCTGTATCAAGAGAAGTTAAGTGGCCATATACTGTAGGTATACAGTATGGTCATATATACAGTATGTACAGGTGTGTACAGTACTGGATGTCAGTACCTGTGCAGTTGCACGTGTGTGTACATGTGTATGCTTCCCCAGTGTTATGGAAAAATGTCATTCCACCTCTGACAAATACTTCTTGTCCTGGGACCTGAGCTGTTTTGCTCTAGCTTTTTCACCTTCTCTTCTCCCCGCCCTTAACAGCTTGCGTAGTCCTTAGTTTCACATGAATTCAAGCTCCCATGCAGTATTTGAACAGCTTTTGCTATAGTTAGAGCCATGTTTGATCTAAGTTATCTTCTTTGGCGTCAAACGTACCAGTGTTACTACTTGTTACAGCAATGTTCATCCCAAAGTACAATAAAGCATGATGAACAGAAGGGATGGACTTCAGCTGTATAATTGGGTTGCATAAACTCCTATTTTTATTTCAAAATTGCACCTAAAATTGCTTTAGGGGGCTGGTCTCTCTCTGTTTAGCAAATGTATTTGCAAATACCCAAGATTAAAAGCTTTCATTTATGGAAGAAGAGAAATGATCCTGCATTCTGAAAAAGATATGGTAACAGTATAGTATCATGAACTCCTTATCTTGCCTTACACAGGCAACAAAAAACCCACCTTATTCCAGTGCATCTGAAGAAATCTGCATAGTTTTGTTTTTCTCTATATTTCTCATCTCCTAGCCCCACAGTTCTCATGAGAAGAGACACTGCCTTATAACTGGTTTGTAATTCTGTATACTATGGGCTGCTTCTCCCTGCATTTCAGCAAAGATGTTCTCTGGAACTGCCTTGTCAGTGCAGGCACTAATTTTTCACCAGATCTGTAGGAATCTGTAGAGCTTTAATTGTTGTAGAGCCTAGTTGGACCACCTAGTCAAATGATAGAGGAGAGAGGGAGGAAAAGCACTGTGATCACTCAAGCTGTTTCCGTAGGAAAAAAACATGACCAAAATGATTAGGTCTTAGTGATAACGTTGTGCAAGAGGCTTTGCTTATCTTTTGAAATGCATTTGTAGGTGCCACTTCAAAGAAGAGGAGCAGTCATTGGGGAAATGGCTGTCCCTCTGGATGGGGAGGGAATCATTTGTTTGTCTGTAGCAGGGTAGTGTTTCCTGCTTATCTACCTGGTCTAGTGTAGCTGCTTTTTTTTAATGAGCTTTGAGAAGCATGTTAGGGTTTCCAGGTACTTCTTTCTTCAGAATCACTCCTTCCTAGTTTCTGGTGTTAATTTTGCTCTGTTGGTCTATACTTGCAATTTGCTTTTGTTTCTCTTTTCCTTCTCTACA